AAATGGCCACCACGAATCCGGTGATCACTCCAAGAAACATCATGATAAGGTAAGATATGCCTGTTTGTTGCAGGTGTCTGTCTTTCCAAAGAAGAATAGCTTAATGCAAGTTTTTGTATTCGTTGCTTTGGAGTTGGACTTCTGCAACATTATTGTTTGTTTTTTCGAACCTATGGAATTCACATGGAGCCGTGTCACTAATATTTCAGAAAAGGAAACACGATGGAGATGAAGATCTTAATGACGTTCAGAGGCACAAAAAAAACAAGGTAATGGTTATGTATGGGGGCTCAACTTTTTCTTGTACTCAACTTGAAATTTCCACCATAATTTGTTTTGCACAAAGGTGTTAGAGAACTAGTAGTATGTCTTTAGTAAATTGTATTGATTTGGCTCTCGATATTAACTCGTTGCAGCATAAGAGCTCAAAGCTTGATGAGATGGGTGCTATAAGGGTTGCTGGCTGAAGTTGTAGACATTCCCAGTTTTGTATTCTGCATTCCAGTAGGTGTCATGGAGAGGTTTAGAAGCACTTTTCAACTCACTGTAGACAACTTATTAGGTAAGCATCTGTGTACTGTCCCGTCTCTTTTGTTCAGTTTGCTTGGTTTTTTTCTGGTCATCTATCGTTTCATTTCAGTCCAATTCACTTTGGTATTCCGCAATCATTCATAGAACCTACACCCGTGATACTCCAAATAATGTACTTTAGGGCAGATGAAACCATGAGCCTTAGCAATAATGTCATTACCCAAGTTTCATGTGTTCGTTTAGTCACCGATATCCAAATAGCGCAACATTCGCAAGGGAAAACTGCACGAGTATCAACTGCGTGACTTCTATATTGGTATTGGATTCTTCTCCGGTTCCTAACAAGCTTGCACTTGATACACATCTTATAGAAATTAGGTAACCTGTCGATAGAACATATCATTAGATAGAATGTGTTTATAACAGAGTCGAATAGTGTCAGCTAAAATCAGGATTACTTAACTTTTTGTTTCCCTATTGTGTTAGTTTTTAACAAGAGGATTGGCTTTGTAGGTTAAAATTCCAAAATGGTGATTTCATTCCTTGAAGAAGAAAGGGGACATTTGT